AACCGTATAACTGGCCTCTTTTTTTACCTGGAACTTTAACTGCAGAAATATGTCTGTAATTATTAGAAAACGCCTTTTATCCAGCATTATTAGAGTAGATTGAGAATGACGATCAGTACATAGCAAACAACTTAATATTCCAGCTAGACGGTGCGCCACCCCATTTAGCACTGACTGTTCGTCAGTATTTGGATCAAACGTTTCCAGGTCATTGGATCTGAAGAAGAGGAAGTATTGAGACCGTGGAGGCCGGTCTCCGGATCTAACTCCTTTAGATTTTTTTATGGGGCCACTTAAAAACGAAAATGTATGCCACCCAGCCAACATCACTGGAAAATCTGCGACAAAGGATAATTGATGAATATCATCAAATCAGGGCTAGGAAGACAGTAGTTATTTAAAACTCGGAAGTTATAATCTAGGTATAAATACCTTCAAAATAAGATATCATTCGACCCCTCTTTTTATTTATGATTTTAGAGGCAAGTTTCACCCCCGTTAGAGGGTTTCCGTTCAGGGGGTGAAACTGGCAAAAAATGTATCACCCTCAAATCAAAAATTGACGGGTCCAAGCGTTTTTTTCGTAAATGATCTGAGGTACCAAACATTGGTTCTGTTTCGTTTTCAAATGTATATATACAATACTCCATTATATGTGTATTAAATCATTAATAATCTCCTTCTAAATTCATGATAGTTAATAAATGTTTTATATTGTGTTTCTATGTATTTCATTGGAACTCCCGTCTGCCGCTTCAATCTTCAAAACTCCAGCAATTCGACATTTAACAATACCTTTTTTCCAAGAACATTTTTATAAAATCGACGATTTAAAATGGCTTTTAAAAAATCGGTGGTGATCCTAAGTGGGGTGTGGAGAGGGGGGAGTTCCCATTTCTTGCATAGAGACCGGACACCCAAAGCAATTTTTGAATTTCGGCGCCTATGATGTTGGCGGTCTGTACAGGTCCGTCGTTTATAATATAGGTACTGCGCAAAATGAATTATGGATCGCCTTAAATTTTTGGCTTTGAATCAAAATTTGCTATAACCAAAACCACTTTTTGTAAAAACTTTTTTTGACTGATAAACATAATGGCCATTTTTATCTTGACAGGGTCTATTTCATCTCAAACAATAATTATAATTCGCTTGAAACTTGAAAGAGCTACCATTGAGATCTCGACGGTAAGCAACCATGAGTGAATCCAGAAACTTTTTCAAGAGGAGAAAGCAATTTGAGTTCGTAGTGAGGGCTAATTTTTATTGGGTGTCACCGGCTATCATGGAGGATCACAGGTGAGTACCATCGTGTGGAGGGCGTATTTGTCAGTAATCCGCTATGACTGGCAGTGATCTTTTTCAAACACGGATCCAAGGTAGTTGCCTTTATTGCTGAGTTCGGGCAGCTCACTACGCGGAGTCACTACCGTACTCTACCGCGTTCAAAACACACTCGTCAAAAGACCCGCGTTAACTATATTATTAAATTTTTGCTTTCCTTTCCTTCTCCTCAATTTCACCGCACGTCCCTGAGTCGAACCTTTTTTGAAGAAAGCTATATATTGGTTATGGATTTACCATCCAATCATCAGGACTTAAATCCCATAGAACACCATGGGTTGAGTTAGGAAGAAGAAAGACCAAATAACCTACAATTTGCAAATGCTTCACTTCAAGAATGGGAGTAGAAACCTCAACAAAGAATTTGGCATTTAATCAATAGTATGTCACGTCGATGTCTAAAAGTAATATGAACAAGAAAAGGACGTACCCGTAACTGAAACTTGTTTTAGAGATTTTCGGGGATAGTCTTGATAATTGGTAGAGGTATTTTTGAGATTTGTTTTCGAATTTTCAAGATTTGTTTTCGAATTTTCAAATTATTCTGTCTGTGAATCTCGACAGTTAATGTTGTAAAGGTCTAGAAGGAATGGACTTGTCTAGAATACAAGGAGGTCTGTGTTCGATTCCCGGCTGCGACAGGCTCCTTGTTTTCAACTTTGGGGTTCGAAGATGGTCTTCATAATTCGTAGGGCGATTTTTGAGATTTGTTTCCAAGTTTTCAAATTATTTTTAATATAAAAAAATTATTTCAGTTATGTTTCGACAATTATAAAAACATTTGTTTACATTATTTACTGAACAAAATTTTCTCTTAATTTGGGTCAAATTATTTATTTATAATAAACTAATTATAGGACTGATAATATTATGTGATTGTTCTATAGTTAAATGTTTGATAGTGATAATCAATTAATTTTCGCATTTTTTATTCAAAAAGATAAATTAGTAATTATTATATTTTTCTACTTTTTCCAATCTACTGAAGTAGATCCCAATCTATATTCTTATAAAGTCATAAAAAAGTTCCACACATAGCCACACTACATCAAAAATTCAATAACACATTCAAACACTCCAAAAAAACTATAGATTTTAAAACTTAAATTAATAAAAATATTCATAATAAAATTAAATTCAATTCCGTATAAAATTCTGTGGCAAAAATACTTATGCAAAATTAAATGGACATACCTTGAGGAACTAGGACATATTTAACATCTTATTTAATATTGTTTACTTATTTTTATATTTGTTTACTTCTATTTTTATCTAACCATTTTACAAATTTGAATTTGACAGGTGTCTAGACTGTCAGTAATTTGAAGTTCATGTCATGTCATTCAGACAAATAACATTATCTAGCTATATCAAAGTTTATCAAAGCTGGTCCTGATTTTTGTTATAAGTTCCACTTTTATTCAAAGTTTCAAGAAATTGTATTTTTTAAATATATAAATTTTTATTAGAGAAATTATTATGGTGACACACTATGTAGTTTTACTGTAGATTTAAAATATCTGATAACAATTTTGAAATTCCCTAATTCGGCCCTGTCTTTTCTTATAAGATTGAAATGTTTTTATTATGGAAAGTATTGTGGTGTCACATGATGGTTTTCTATGTAGTTTTCCAATTAGATTCCAAATATATGATAAAAAAAATTAATATTCGTTATACAGAGTGATACTTTTTAACAAAAAAATTACAAATTTATTTCTGAGAGAGATGTTTTAAATATGTTTCTTAAAAAGTGTAATCTACTATTAAAATGATACATGACTTTCTAGTTAAATTATAAAATATATTGAATACGGGCCATCTAATTAATTTTCATGTATTTATTACCGACGAAAACACTGACAGCCGTATGCATAGTCGATCGCCAGCGACTCGCCAGAGGTTCATTTCGGCGTATCGCCAGAGGTTCATTTCGGCGTATCGCCAGCGATTCGCTGGGATCCGCCGGCGAAAACCCAAAAAGCTGGCGACTCGCCGGAGATTGTCACCGGAATGTCATTTCACGCAAGTTTTCATGTTCTTTTATAGGGAAAAATTTGATATTCGTTCATTATTTTTTGAGTTTTAAGAAATGAATCATGAATAAAATGCGAGAGATACCGGTGATAATCCCTATAAAAGAAAATAAAAACTTGCGTGAAATGACATTCCGGTGACAATCTCCGGCGAGTCGCCAGCTTTTTGGGCTTTCGTCGGCGGATCGCCAGCGAATCGCTGGCGATACGCCGAAATGAATCTCTGGCGAGTCGCTGGCGATCGACTATGCATACGGCTGTGAGAAACTTCGAATTTTGCGCTTTTTCTTAAATTTCTACAATACAGTTCATTTTATATAAATCATGAAAGGTGATAATAATTAGAGAGATAACTCCTATAAAAAAATACCTTAAAGTAGAAAAACGACCCCTTATAAAATATCTCCCCACCAGATGCTCCGACTATGCCCAATATTAAATCTGCTCATCGCAAGATAGATTTAGGGATAAATTTAAAATTTGATGTTTTTGTCTTTATCCGATTTTGAATTATCGTTGATATAGATAAGCGCCCTTATAGATAGATATTATCGCGAAAATGGTCAAAACGAATTAAGGGGACCCCAATCGATCTCGACAAAAATCATGATTCCTATATTTTTGTAGGTACTGGAAAGTACAAATAGATATTTTGATTTTTACTAATAAAACAAAAATCAAACGATACAGGGTGTCACAAAATTAGACGGCCATGTGAGCGTATTCTACATTCTAAAATAGAAGTAAAGTTCATATAAATATAGGCCCGAAAAAGATTCGTTTTCGAGATACAGGGTGTTACAAGTGAAGTCCTGATGTAAAATTTCTGATTCCACAGGCCTATTAATTATTGTTTACACTTTCGAATAAAATAACATCAACTTATCATGAAATTTTCAAATGCTTTTCTCTTGAAAATGGTGGGTCCTAGCGAGATACAACAAAAGTAGCTTTATTATAAAGAAAATACTGGTTTTACAAATTTTGTTGTCAAAAATGTTAAAAACAGTCAACAAAAAAACTTAGGACAATTTAACCCTAAGCCCCTCCCCTAATTTACCCACCTATGAAGATGATCAAAAATTGGCGTTTAGTCCATTAAAAAGAGCGTAAAAAGTTTAGCATTTGTGCCAAATTTCACTTAGTTATCTTTAAAAATTTAGAAAATATTTACAAAAATGTGTCATCAGGACTTCACTTTTAACACCCTGTATCTCGAAAACAAAATGTTTTCGGACCTATGTTTATATAAACGTTTACTCCTATTTTAGGATGTATATTACGCTGTTAAAACATGACCGTCTAATTTCGGGACACCCTGTATAACATAAACGGCTAACAATAACGGTTAATTTAGGGAATGTTTGGAAACCAGCTACTTCCCATTAACGTTTGTCCAAAACTCCTCAATTACTACTCATTTTGATAGGTACTTCAAAAAATCATTATACGAAATTCAGCAAAAAAATATTTTTTATTTTGTAAAAAAATATCTTATAATATTCGCAATCGAATAATTCACCCTGTAATTGTCTGCTTTCATTAAAGAGCATAGAAGTGCATACACGGCCACTTTCTCCCCGAATAAGTACTACCCGTATGGGTACCGACAATACTTACCGTATGCGCTCCGAAGCTCTGTGCAATCGAACCATGGAAATCCGAGCACAAAAACAAAGACAGAAGGCACCACTTAACGTTTTTTACGGTTTTCATCTTCGCACTCACTGACTGCACCGTATACCGTCGTAGATGATGGCGATGGTACTAGAAGGCTCACGGGTACCAACGGCGTCTTTTACAGGCCTCCCTCTCGGCGCCCCGTGTGGAATCTTCGAAGATGGTACCGCTCTCTTCCTCGAGGCTGGAGATCGTCAACTGATTTTGATCGAACCCTCGAAGGGTTTTGGTCAGTGGTTTATGGACAATTAAAGAAAAAGTTTAGTTTGTAAGAACTTTTCTCCTAAGATATATCAATCTTTTTCACTTCACTTATGAGTTTTATGACTCATTTGAGAATAAAATGCATTTAATAGAATTAATCAGAGCAAAATATTGGCCAAATAAGAATATTTTGAAATAAATTATGGCATGCATTTTAAAAGTTATTTACAAGACAAAAAAATGTCAAGTTTAAGCATCAAATTTCTAGTTTGTGGTATTACCTCTGTAATTCCTTAAGGATCAAATCTTGGACCGTTACTTTTCGTATTATTGTTAAATGATTTTCCTTCTATGTAAAAGAATCAAAATATTTACTATTTTTTGCTGACAATCTCAAAATTTATAAGCGAATCACTACTGTGATTGCTAGGATTCCAAAAGTAGGGGAAAGTGTTCCACAATGAGACATAAATTACGTTTTGGTAAGTTGCCAGAGGTTATTATTGAATTTTGTAATTTTGTTGTTTCATGCACGTAGATTGACATATTCCTCGTCATTTAACGCAATAAGTTTATCAATATATCGATTTAGAAAATAAATAGGGATTTTTTTAAATCGTGATTTTTGTCTCACTATGAGACAGAACTTTTTAGACCAAAAAACAATATAAAAAATATGAAAAAAATATATAATAAAAGAAAATGAACATTCTTTTGAAAAAAATGGTATCCAAAAAACTTATTTTGCTAGATAGGACAACATAAAATATAAATCCAACAAGTAAAAAATAAAATAAAATCCTTCAAAATATTAGCGCACATTTAATGAGTTGAAATTTAGTTCAAAACGTATTAGAGCCTGTTGCCTCTTAGTTTTCCCAGTCGTTAAATATTTGAAAAGTATTATTTTTGTTTTTTTCTTCGATCATACTTATATCTTCGGTTACGGGGTGGAAAAAACAGTTGTTAGACTTGTTATTTTTTCGAAGAAATGAAATTTTAAATTCATCTTCTTTATTATTTAAAATTTTTCCGACATAAAAGATAACAGCTTTTAATTCATCAAATTGAACTAAAACGTAGTCCCCAGCGATTGGTTGTTGCTCCAGTGCAAGAAAGTTATCTTTATCGAAGGCATCTTCAATATCACTGACATCTTCAGAGGAGCCCCTAGTATCTTCCTGATAGGATTCCCTATCAGACTCTTCACTAGAAGATTCTTTAAACACTCTGGTCTTTCAATACTGCCGGCGATATAAATTTTTCAATAATATTAGTTCCTTTGATGAGTTCAGATTCTTGAATATCAGTCTTAGAGGTTTCAATTGTTGTGCCATGCAATCCTGATTATCAGCCGTATGGGTTTCAAATATTTCGTCTCCTCAATCCCCAGTAATGTGATGCTCAAATGGAACAGCAATTTCATCAGCTGGCTGGCATCGGTCAGTGACACTGCTAGCATAATCGTCGTCCGTAAAAATTTTCTTGTCAAAGGGAAAAATACCTGAGTTTTTGAAACCTGCTGTTATATTTTTGGGGGTCATAGATTTTTCAAACGCAACACCAACACATTCAGCTATTTCATAAATTGAGATCGGACGGCCTGGATTCCTTAGCATCCACGATTCAACTTCATCATTATATTGGGATTTGAATGGGGAAAAAACCGAAAGATCTAAAGGCTGCAATTTGTGAGAGGTGTACGGTGGCAATGTCAAGATAATAACTCCACTTTTCTTTGCTAGGTCAAGAACATAAGCCGATAAATGGCTTTCATGGTTATCCATTTAATAGTGTGGGATTGTCTACACTACTCGAGGTATGATGTATAAAGTGATTCATGACTTCTATAAATAAATCCTCTGGCATCCATCCTGATGGTTGTGCAAGGCCTAATGTACCGGGAGGAGCGCCTTGAAGCATGTGCTGTTTAAATTTCTTTCTTGGGAAAACCATAACTGGTGGAATAAAGCTTCCAGTTGCGTTCACAGTGCAGCAGGTGGTTACTAATATTCCGCGTTCACCGCTAGTTGCTGAGCTAACTTGTTTAGTTCCCTTCTTTGTTACAACTTTACGTGGTTTCTGAACAGTAGTGGTTGCGGTCTCGTCCAGGTTGTAGATGCGAGTCCCATCTGCAAAATGCTTTGAACGCTGATAGATCGATTCCAAATTGGCAAAAAATTGGCTTACATTATGTTTATTAAATGAAGTAGCTCTGGAAAGGCTACAGCCTTCTGGTTGTCTTACACTCAACTCAGGCTTCCGTGATATAAAACCTAATAACCATTCCATCCCTGCCCGTTTATTAATTTTCCATTTTTCAGGAATGTTAAATTTATTTGCATCGGCTACTTCGAAAGCAAGTATTCGCAAATCTTTCCTAGTTTTGCCGTAGCACATTTTCAAACAAGTTATGGCGTATTCCGCAATAAGTTTCTCTTGTTCTGAGCTAAAAATCTGCCGACAGGCATAGTTAGGCCTGTATCTTATTTTTACATTTTCGCCTGCAAGTTTTTGTTTTTTGACGTAGCGATGAAGCGTTTGAAATTTAATGCCTCTCCTTTCAGATGCTTGTCTTATACTTAGTTTTTCCTCAAGGCACCGTCTCATTGTGGAACAAAATCAACTGTCTCATTGTGGAACTTTTTTGATATTATTTTAAGAAGTTGGCAAACATTTTTCGATCCTTTTAAACATCTCTAGTTTATACAGAATCCTAACCTAGAAATGCCCAAACAATTTCTAAATTTCTAAATTTCAGATTTATCAAAAAACTACCGGATTTTATTTAATCACCAATTAATTTGAGCTATGTAAGTCACTAAATATGCTTAGAATTTTCTAAATTTCGTAAAAATTGGTGGAGCACATGCACAACTGAATATGTTCGTCGGCCATATTTTTTAAACTAAATAGGCGGGAAGTTCAAAAAGTTATGGCGAATGTCTCATTGTCCACAGAATATACCAATGGAGTAATAAAAATAAATATTATTTTATACTAAAAAAAATGTAACATAAAATAAAAATTTTAAACATATTATGGGGGAGAATACTTACATAGAATTAATGAGGTTAGAGATCTGAGAATGAGGTTATGTGTTTCAACTCTGTCATTTGCAGTGCACTTTGAAGAGATGTGCAAAAAAGCAAATATATTTTTAAGATTTGTTAAAAGAAGTTCAAGAGAATGTTTTAATAGAAACATTAAAAACGTTATATTTTACTTTGGTGCAACCTATTTTAGATTTGGCACTCACAGCCTTATATTTTTTTGAGTAGAATTAAAAAAAAATACAAAAAATATTTCTAAGATATTTTAAAGAACATGATATCTGGCCCGAAAAGAATTTGACGTTGATGAAAAATTTCAACAAGAAGGTGCTCCGCCACGATTATAGGTGGATTAATAGACGAGGAACAATTGTTTAGCCAGCACGATCACCGGATCTAATTCCATTAGATTTCTTTCGATAAAGTTTCCTTAAATCAAAGGTATTCGCTCAGTGCGAAGTCATGGTAGGGGAAGCAAAAGCGATACTAGCGCTAGTTGCGGATAATTCGTGCATTTTAGGGCGATATTTTTTAATTTTTGGCATATTCAATACACGTATGTAGGTGAAAACAATACAATAAGCAACCGGAGTTGCTGTATTGACAATTGTAAAAAATACTAGCAAACAAAAACACTGGAAATTATAAAAATGTTCACTAGCATAGTGGAAATTAAATCAAAGAAATAAATGGATGGTGTACAATAAAAAGAAAAATAACCTTTATTTTTGTAATAATAACAGTAATATTGGAAATTGTAGACATCAAAAACTTGAAAGGTTTTAAATAAACAATAAATTATCATAGTATGATGTTCTTCAACAACCCATTATTCTTAAATGTTCAGCAAGGACTAGATTTCAAGATTTCTGTCTTTGATTATTGCATGTGGCTAGAATGCAATTATGTGACTTACTGATAGGAAACCAATTTTAATCACTCATTCTGTTTTCTTTCGAACAAAAATGAAAATATAAATAACAATCCTTTTGTTTATACATTTTAACTTCACGTTATTATTTAATGGTATTTTTTTTATTTTGAATTATTAGACTTAGGCAACTTCTCATACATTTTCCCGTAAATACTGTTGCCTGTCTATATTTTATTATTGATTTTTATTGATTATACTTAATTTTTTTAATTTAGGCAATAAAAATATATAAAAGTAATAAATTAATGTTTTACTTGTTTTACAAATCCATATACTTTTATTAAAACTGACATATATACTTTTTATTTTGGAAAAATTGTATTGTCATAATACGCAGAAATAGTCCATTAGTACCTAAATGAATTGGCGCTGCTGTCACGCACGGAGCGAATACAAAACATCACCTAATTCCATCAACGATATAAGGGATCGAATTTCAGAAGTGTGTACCGCAATAACCTCAGAAATGCTAGACAATGTTAGAAGATAATTTTCTAATAGGCATTTTTATTGCCAAGAAGTTATGGGAAAACATTTTGAATATTTAATGCCTCAAAATATCGCCTGCAGTAATGTCACTGGGATTCAAGAAATGGCTTTGAGTTATGCTGCGGCCAGGCGCAGAATCATAGCGCTATTATCATTTTGAATTTTGACACGTCTGACATCGACACGTTCATTGGTTGAAGATGAATTCAAAACGATCTGATTGAAGCGTTTACTCTTACCCACTTCTTCTCTGCGTTTCGATACTTATAAAAGAAGGAGATAACGATTAACATTTACTATTTCAAATCCTCTTTCATTCGTGAACATGAGTTTTTGATAAGCGAAGCGTGAAGTGTCAATATTGAAAAGTGATAAGTTTTGAATTTTTTTCTGCTACGAAATTTGTACCATTTAGGACTCCTATGGCTGTCATCCAAGGGTTCTCGCCCTAGATAATAGTTTTCCATTCAAGTATAATAATTTTCTGTTTCAGTTTTTCTCCTTTTTCGA